TTTTTTTTTTTTTTTGTATGATTGAAATTCACCTAAAATAGTCCCTATGTTACTCAAAATTATAGCTAATTTATCATTTCCTTCCATGAATCCTTTGCATAATTGAATCTTAATTGAGTAGTTTGAATCCTTTGCATAATTGAATCTTAATTGAGTAGTTTGAGTAAATCAAAATTGGGTGAATCATAAGTCAAAGTGAAAGGAAAGAGAAAAGCACACCAAATCAAGAAACAATAGTATACATAGATACCACTTTCATTTTATTATCTCATTCATATATCATAAAAGGAAACATAACCCAAATATTAGGCATAGATAGCCTTTATTTTAGTGCCCCATTTGTTCATAGATATGATTCATAGAAGCAATTAGTGGATCAGTTCTTGAGTAAAGGGATAAACTCTATGAGCTTCCATGTCTTCTCCCATGGCTTATCATATACCATAGCCTCATAATTCCAAGCCAAACCAACGTCGTTTCTCGCTTCAATAATAAGCCGATAATTCGTTCCAGCTACAAGTTGGCTCCATCCCCTTAGCACACAAATGAATTTCAAATGTTCTCCACTTTGCTGATTGTGCTCCATTACTGCAAACCTTCCTATCTCTTCCACATATGGGGTGATTTTCTCAATCGGTTCCCATCGACCAAATTCGAGATTTTTCGGATCTTGAATCAAGGCTTCATTTTGCCCAGGATCAGCTTCGACGTATGAACTCATCGTAACGATTTGATTGATAGTTTTAAAAGACTTTGTAGTGATGGTTTACTCTCGATCGAGTAAGAGTTTAGTATTTATAGCTTTAGTTGCGCCTAGAAATTGATATCAAGGAATCTAATTCGTAGACCTTATAGACAATGATTTATAGAATTTGATATCATAGAATATTCCGTAGATATCTAAATATAAAAAAAGTATAATTTCCTTGGTCAGTAAATAACTTCTAATTTGATTCATTTATTTTGGACCATTCCTTTTGCATGGTCTTAGTCCTTACCATTTACACCACTTAAGTGGGTGAATTATTATGTTGAGTTTTTAGGCAAACACATAGAAGAAAGAAATCTCGCGAACAAGAAAGTAAAAAGTTCCAAAGTAGTATACAAAAAGTTTACAACTTTTAGCTTCAAAATATTTAAGTTTGAAATTGTGAGATCCCACGTTGCTTGAAAATGAAAACATTATTTATAAAAGTGTGAACGCATTTTAAAATCATGATGTTGACAGCGATAGATAACGAGTCAAAACGAACAATATTTATAAGTGGTAGGCTTGTATTGTTACAAATGGTAAGCCGTCAGGTTGACGATAGTACGTAATGACCCAAAGCGGACAATATCAACCAGTAATGTCATTGGGCTGTTACAAATGGAATCAGAGCCAAATACCGGGCATTATGCCAACGAAGATGCTTGCCTCCCAAGAAGGTAAATTGTGTGATCCCACGTCGAGTAGGAGAACCCTTTAAACTTTGTAATTCCTACTTTTGGATGGGAATATTCAATAAAACTAATCCTCTTTGAATTTAATATCACATCCAATTGTAAAGGTGAGAATTTTTTTTTTGGTGTATCCCAGTTAGGTACGCCTACGTTAAGAAATTAGATGTTTAAATATTCTATTTTCACCAGTTGAATTTTAAAAAAACCCAAATAAATTTTTTTAATAATAAATAAGTAAATAATATTTGTGAATGTTACTCGTATGTTATAATAATTTCTTTTTCATTCCAACATTTTCCATTTTGTATTCTAGGATATGAATTATATTATGAACCATATAGTCGATATGGAAATACTCTCTATGTATTTGGTAGAGGTGTGAATGTGTTTTTATGTTACCCCGTTTATTTAGTATGAGGGCAAAATGTTGGTTGATTTTTCACATATTCTTTCCTACACCCCTGAAGTTATCTCGAGCACTTCTATCTTCTACACCTAATTTAAATTCAACCTTTAAGGCTTTTGATAAAATCTTAGAAATTCGTAATTAAAAGAGAAAAGTTTTAAAACTCACGTACCTGTTGGGCTCGGGTGTTACATATACCATCTTCCTTATCACCTAAGGTTTGTCTAACTAAGACTCAAACTTGTAAGGTTTGGAATGAAGCATAGTATGTGATACTATCAAAACTAGTTTAACGGCTCATCTTGTCGTCTCTTTTTGTCTTTGACTATCCTATGATCAATATAAACACTGTAACAAGAAATTCGAGTGGTAGGCATTAGTGAGTCAATAAACATCACGCTGACTCATACAATCATGTTAAAACTTGAAGAAAGTCTTTAAATCATTGCTTCTTGACTAGTATTCTGGAGGGAACCTTAGTTTCTAAGAAAATAAATGTCCATCTCGCTACCTTGATCAATTCCTTATATTCATTGTATCGCTACTTGGGTCAGTTGCTTCCTCTAAACGGCCAAGCTAATGCACTCAGTATGAACGTGTGAGGTCCTGCCTTAGCAACTCAGATGTCCGTGGCTTGGTCTATCTTAGCCCTATTATATAATTCTATTCATATCTTAAGAACTAAGAGTGAGTTTATGACTCATGCTCTTTATTTAAATCAACCTCTCGTGTTGAAAAAAATTGTAAATACTTAATTTAATCTTAATTAAAACTTTTATACTCTCTTCCAAATGAATGGTTTTCTTCATTTAACTAAATTAATGATTTAATCAATTTCATGTATTACTTTGTTTTCAAAGCTACACCTTTTAAACTTTGCTAAAATTTCCAACCATCGAACTCTTTGCCTATACGAACTCAAAACTTTATTTAAATATTTTTTTCTATAATCATAGTGAAAACTCTTTTAAACTACTGCTTTAGGAAACATGATAATTAACTTTGGATATGAAAGACAACAAATTACTTGAGAAGTCGGAGTAAACAAAATGAAACCTTAATTAAGGTAAAATCTTTAGAACATTACAATATAGCCAACAAGTCCATTACAAATTTACTCGGGGTCAGTCATACTAGCGTAGAGTAGCATCAATATATGTTGGCTAAGCCAACTTTATGTGTGTTCGAGTTTATGTCGTGTCTCGTTAGAAAACAAATCCATGTTAGCCAAGCACTCTTAAGCCAACTTCTTCCATTCTAATTCGTCATATGTGATGTACCATTGATCAATAAGAGCTACAATGCACTCATCTTCCGACCGAAATATAACACCTTCTCAGATTCACGATATGAAATAGCTTCATTAGTTTTAATTATCTTAAATCGAAGGATTCACTTTTCCAGCAAATTCACCAAAAATTAATGTTTCATCCGTAAATCCTTTCAAATACATAAATATTTTACCTTCACCAAGCATGTCCTTCCCATTCGGACGAAACAATCCAGCACCTCAAGGTCTCGACATTCCATTGATTCCATTGCAACATAGTCACTTGTGAGCATAAGTAATGACTTTCAATTCTTTTTAAGTCTTTTTTAATCATTCTATCCTCAAGATCCCTCTCATTCAGATGTCGTCTCGATTGAAAGACCAAATATACCCGAATTAAATTTTAATAAAAATTTGAACTAAACTTGTAATTAATGATTTGAATCCATTCATATAGTAACAAATTTGGGTTGTTCTAAACAAAAGAGAAGAGGAAGATTAGGTTAAACATAGATAGGTTTTATTTAATAGTGCCATTATTGATAATAGGTAAGGATAGTAAAGCACCATACGTATCATTGTTTAATACATAATTAAGAATCAATCTTCCCTCATTTATGTTTAAGGAGAGGCTTAAAGGATGTGAGGGTCCATGATTGCTCCCATGGTACATCCCACACGATAGCCTCGTAGAAATAAATCCCATTATCGCCCTCTTTTGTTGCCCTTATCACAAGGCGGTAGTTAATTCCTGATACAACTTGAGTCCAACCATCATCCACATGTGAGAAAATCAAGTGTTCCCCACTTTGGTTGTTGTGCTCCATCACTGCAAACCTTCCCCTCTCTTGCACTTGTGGGTCGTTGATATCCTTAATGTGACTCCACCCACCACATATTATATTTTCTCGGTTTGCGACGAGGCCATCGTTTTGGGAGGCAGCTGCAACGGAACTCATAGTAACTTTTGATAGATAGTTTGAAAAAGCTTTCTAATTGTGGTATGCTCTCGATCATGTTGGAGCTCGAAATTTATACTTGTGATATGAACTAAGACGATATTGATAGTGCCGAATCTAATTCGATATCATCTTAATAGAATCTCTTGTGGACCTCCTCAATGAACAAGAGGAATGATATTTCATGGCTTGTAGATAGGATAGCTATGAATCTAATTCTTGTAATTAAGACATCATAGAATCTCTCTGTGGACAAACAATACTATTTTCATGACTTTGTAGATAGATAAAATTGTTATGAATCTTATTCGACAATATTCATTTATATTGGAACGTCCTATCCACCCCTTAGATGTCCAATGTCTTTGCTGGCACACCGCCTCGTGTGCACCCTCTTTTAGGGTTCAGTCTCTTCGCAGGCACATCATCCGATGTCTAGCTCTGATACCATTTGTAACAAGTCTAGTCCACCGCTAGTAGACATATTGTCCTCTTTGGACTTTCCCTTTCGAATTTTCCCCTAAAATTTTAAAATGCGGTCTCTTAGGGAGAGGTTTCCACAACCTTATAAAGAAAGTTTTGTTCTCCTCCCCATCCGATGTGGGATCTCACATTAACTCAAGATGAGTTCGGTTAGTGTTGCAATGACCTTGGGCCTCACGAACATGGTTGCACTATCATAAATCTGTATAGAAGGGAAAAGAAACTACACAACTAAACTTATTAGTTGGCAGACACATGCAATCACACCAAGATTAAATGTGATACTGTGGCCCTTCGTTAAGGGTCATCAACAAACCTTAAACAAATGATGTTTATAAGAGATGATGTCATAGTTCTAAATGAATATGATGAGATTGTGCCTCAACCATAATCGAGTGGAAGCTTACTAAGTATGAGAATAGAAAAGTTGGTTCACCTTAAGATGAGATACGTTGTCTAGTAGATCCATGATGCTAGAACCAGTGAGCAACTTTCGGGACTCGATAGGCACCGTGAGAAATAAGAAAACAACTTGCAACTTTGAGATTTCCCAGAAGCTTAGAAAACGATAAAATGAGTCTCAAACTTCCCATAACCTAGAGAAAACCCGTGGAAACTTACTTGGTTGAGAATGCAATGAGAACCTATAAGTCGGCGGCTTGTTGAGTATTTTTTGTACTCAACTCATTCTACATATATTTTCAAGTTCTTGCTAGTTGTCAGTCGAGATAGGGGAGCGACTGGAAATACGCAATCATAGAGGGGTCGACCTAGGGCATAAGTCAAGTCGTGTAATTTGAGTCTTTTTGTATTGTTTAGAAATGATATTTGATTTTAATTACTGATGTTCATTTTTAAATTGCACAAAATTTTACTATATTTATTTTTATCGCTTGTATTTTTGGTCATGGTCCGAGATTGGAAGACTCAAAATTTAGATCTTAAAGAAGTGACAAATTATGTTGTTTTTAAGACCAAAATAAAAATAGTATAATATTAATAAACTTTGAATATGTAATTAATGTAGGCCTAAGACATTGGGATACACCCAAAACAATCTCAGCCTTACAATTTTGATGTGATATAAATTCAAAGAGGATTCTTTTCATTGTATATTCACATTCAAAAGTAGGAATCACACGACAAACAAAGTCAATCAG